TGAAGATATCCGGAGTCAAACGCGAAAAGGCTCTTGGTATGACATGGGATTTCCTGTTGGCAGCAGCAATCCTTCGTAATGTGTCCCGTGTATACCGTATATCAGATGATACCAACACAGGCCTTTTTCGAGTATTGTGGTTCTGAGCAACGCCCCACCGATATGATACGTCCCGAAAGGCACAGGAAAACCAATGAGGAGGACTGAGTATTTATCACGATTTATGGGCAATCATTATTTGACTGACCAGTCACGTAACGTATCAAGTGTCGCCTGTAATCTATCCGCATCATCAAGACAGGATACCTCCATCCACAGCTTCAAGTTGTCAACGTAGACCAAGCAATCCGACTGGTTTCGACGGGTCATTGATGAAGAACTTGTAAAGTTCTGGGCCAAGGACCGATCCCTGCAAGACACCGCTAGTTATGAGCACAGGAGCGAAGTAAGTCTCGTTCACGTTGATTCGCAGGGTCCCGTCAGCCCAGAAATCGGTGATCCAAGAGAGAACGTTCCCAGAAACACCGATTCCTCGTAGTTTAAAAGGGAGCGTTTCATGAAGAACCTTATCAAACGCTTTGCTGAAGTCGAGAAAAACAACATCCAGGCGTTTCCCAGCATCTAATGATTTCGCCCATCTATCCAGGGCAAAAAGCAGATTCGAAAAACATGAGCTAGTGCAGGAAACGTGGGCAGCAATTGGTTGACCAGGGTGTGATTCAGGTGTTTAGTTTTAGATCCATCAAGACCTCCTACCACCATATGATTTGCTGGCTCAACGATCCGCTCAAGAAGGAACTCTCAAGGGATTTTCCTATCGTTCCAGTCCCATCTGAATCTGAGCGTACCCGCCAGAAAGCATGCTGAGCACAAGTGATGACGCTTGGGCTATCGAGGTGAAGATGAAGTGTCCACTTGAAATTCCTATATATTACTTTGCACAATATTGACGCTAAGATGCGTCGATAATTGGCAGGACTTTGACAATCCCTTCCTTTGTGCATACGTTTAACGATTCCCAATTTCCAAGCAATTGAAAGCGAAATATCGGGCAAACAGGAGCGGTAATGTAAGCGGTCAGTCTTGAGGTCTGTAACCTGAAGATAATCATCTGGGATTAGGTTATCAACAACTTTCCTCGAAGATTCCGACCGCACGCAGTGGTAGCAGCGTTTCGCACCGGGACACTCACTGTAATATGCGTCTGCTCGTGGATTCCGAGGGTACCCGTGTCCAGCGTGTATGTGCAGGTCGTAAAAGAACTTGGGAGCAGCAATGGAAAGCAAATACCTCGTAGGTGGCTGGATGCGCATATCAAAACTGTAGTGCGTCGGAGTGTTCAAATTCAAGATCGGGTGGGACTGGAACGATAGGAGAATCCCGTGGGTGTTCCATCTTGAGTGGATCGCTGAGCCATGAATTGATGAAGTGCTCAGAGTAATTGATGGGTCCAAAACGGAACACCCGTATCGCACCCTGGCCAACCAGTAAATGCCCACGTTTCCTACCCTAGCAGTCTCTACTATGGCAGTCACGTGAAGTAAGCAAAGGATAGGAAGAGAAATCGAAGGTACAGAATGAAGAAGTGCACTTGAAACAAGAAAATAATACCAATGCATGAAGAAAAGTAGAGAAAAGAAAATCGAAGTATGAAGATATGAGTTGGTCAGGAAAATGGAAAGGTTTCGTGTTGCCACTCAAGTGCGTCGTTGCCGCTCAAACCCCTTAACGGTAGGTTCCCTGATAACACTTTCCGTAAGCATGTTCCAGCGCTCGATGACTCGGCGTGATAGCCGGATTTCCACCCTAATCCGATCGGACCGCGGTTTGTCCAGCTTCAAGGAATGACCGCGTAGAACAGACGATATAACGGGACTGAATAGCCAATATAAATCTGGACCAACCTTCTCAGTTAAGATACGGCAGGTTAGGATTAAGTCTCCATCGGTAGTGCACTGATTATACTCCCAGACTAAGTAGACGCTCGGGGTACGTCCGTCCCCGTAATCCCTCAAATAACCTAGTACCCACCCGTAAAACCCACTCTAACTCCATTTTGTCCTGGACGAGGTAGGGCGGACAAGCCTGGAAGCAGTATTCCAGATGAGGTCGAACGAAAACCGAGAACAGTCTCATAAAGATGCCGCCCGTCAAGACGCCGAAAGAACGTCGTATTAACCTTAACACGCGGAAGCCTCTGCTTGCGGCCTTCTTCAAGTTGTCGCCGGAGTGTAAAGCCGAAGCGTGTACGACGCCTAGAGCAACCTGGCTAGATACACGGGGGAATTCGACCCCACCGACCAAGTACTTCGCAGGAGGACAACCACCTCCAATTCAAAGAACGGAGCACTTTGCCTGATTTATGGGCAATAACCATAAATAAGACAATTCCCAAAGCTTAGCCAATGCTCGTTGAATAGCTACGGAACCCCCAGAAACATTGACAATGTTCCACAGCTTCAAGTCAACAGCAAATAGCAGCGATGGTAACTCAAGCTCCTCGGGTAGGCCATTCATATAGATAGAGAACAGCAGCGGTCCAAGGACCGAGCCCTGCGGCACACCACTGAAGACAAACTGCCTAAACGATAGGCCACGGCCTACCCGTACACATTGTTCTCTACCCTCCAAGAAAACAGTCACCCAATGAAGGGCGCGGCCAGATACCTAGTAGGTCAGCTTTTGCGCGAGCGTCAACTGGGGTACCTTGTCTAATGCCTTAGAAAATTCGACGAAAAGCATCCTCAATGCGTGGCCGTTATCCACTGCATCCGCCCAAGTTTCGCGAGTCACCAACAGATTCGTCAGACACGAAAATCCCTTCCGAAATCCATGTTGTACATTGCAAAGTAGATAAAATCTATTCAGATGACTCTCCAATGAATCTCTCGCCAGTTTCTCAAGGAGTTTGACTAATACACTCGTCAGACTAACTGGCCTGTAATTTGCAGGCAGACTCCTGTCCCTATTTTTGAAGATGAGACAGATGACAGCTTCCATCCAATCGGAAGGTAATGCACAGCTGTCAAGTGATTTCTGAAACATAATAGCAAGCGGTCCACTTAGTTCCGCAGCCAACTCATGCAATAGTTTCGAGTGAATTAAATCTGGCCCATAGGCCTTAGAAGGGTTCAGCCCTTGTAACAGCCTAGGAACTTCCGTCTCCGCTACAAGAAATTCAGATAGTCCTGAACCCTCTGGGATATTGCAAACCAGCTCAACGCTTGTCAAAGAGATTTCCCTTACAAACGCTGCCGCATATTGCCCACTAAGTACGTAGACCATGTAATAATCCATATGCGCATAAGTAGCGTCATCAAGCATCAATACTGGAATTGACATGTTCGAACCGCAGCGTCTTTTGACATAAGCGAAGAATCTTTTTGGATTCTCGAAAGCTTCGTCTGTTAACCCTTTCTCGAAATTGAGCTGAGCATTCCTTAGGTTCTGCTTACACTTATTTCTAGCCTTACGGTACCAGTCATAAGTATCGGTGGATGTGAGCAGATGCCTGCCAGTGGAATCTATCCAGGGCGGCTATGTTCGTGCCTTCTTTCGCCTTGTGATTGGGATGAAGGGAGCAGAGACCTCTGTGAGGCAGGACTTAAATTTATCCCATGCAACCTGGACAGTATCGTCGCCTGAGAGCTCACAATGGAAACCCGAAGCCTTAACTCTCACTGATTGAGTCTGCGTGCCATAAGTTCGGGAGTGACTAAATAGTACTCTGGTAGCGTCTAGACAGAGTACAACTGAAGAGCAAACAAACATGATTACTGGGACCCAGTGGAAGTCCGTAAGTAATGTGACCAACAAAATCGAGTGACTTAGCAAATACTAGGTCTAAGATAGACGGTACTTGGGCATCCATGTACCTAGTGGGGAGGTCAATGAACTGATACGAAGGTACTTGGAACGTAAGCTCAAGCACATCAGCTCCGAATGTACCTGATGTTGAGTCGCAAGATAGGTCTGCCCAGCAAACCTCAGGGAGGTTGAAGTCGCCTATCACTAAACACCTGTTTGCGGACTGGGAGCGAATAAAGTCAAGTACCTCTTTAGATACGTTCACAGGGCTTCTATACACAGTTACAACTGTAACCTGAGCCGAGGATGTGCTAATCACAGCCGACAGAGCTTCAACAGTTTTGTCTGCCGAGTGAAATAAGCAAGTCTTCAAAACGTCAAGTTCACAGCTCACATAAAGAGCGACACATCCTCCCTGCCAGCGACCAGAGTGATCGCATCTAAATAGTGCGTAGTCAGGTAGATGTACCATCACCATCCGTGATGTGCTGAGACAGCCAAGTTTCAGTGAATGTCGCAGTAGCGAGTAAACAGGCAACTTGTCGTCGAGCATAGCTTGTAGTGTGTCATTTCCTCTTTTCTTCCCTTTCCCATTTCGTCTTAGGTGTCGTATTAGCCAACCATCGGACGCTTGCACGCCATCCATCTAGTCGCCTTTCGCTCGGCGCTCTATCATCAGATGTGAAAGTACCGCCCAGCCAGCCACGAGAATTGACACAAGCACACCATGCATCTAGCGTCGACACTAAGTAGTTTTCCAACAGCCTACGAAGTATCTTCTTTCCCTTTCAGCCCCCTCGGTCTACCTACTCCGAAACAACGCGTCTCTCGGCATCTACCCATATTCATATCTTCCTCGACATCGCTTGGACTAAGTGCACTGGGCGCAGGTAGCAAGTGAAGTCGCCCACTCAACCATGCTCCACCACAGTGCACGGCGTATTGAACTGCATGCCCTTCACGCAACCTTACAACAGCGACAACAGTATGACTCCAACCAATGGTAGTTCCCTCAGCAGAAACTAAATATTGTCAACGTAATCACAACGGACGTTCACCGCCTACGTCGTCCAGCAAGTTATACATGAATAGCCCCTCATCTCCTGAAAGTGACATTCCTCACCGCTAGCATAGCAACCGATGCCTTCACCATCTGGTATGCTAATAAAAGACGAGCACCACCAGATATCCGTCTGCGTCCTGATGGGCACCCGGTGCCAAGGCGCACAGCTTCCCACAGACCCCTAGCAGCAGCACCAGCCAACTCGGTACCGACACACTCTGACCAAATCGTCCTCAGGCGGTCCACCACCGAACCACCTGCCTCACTGTCTGGAGTAATCTACTCACCTACACATTCCAACCTTCAGTCTTTCAATGACCCAGCCGCCAGCCACCATCTGTGCTCCGACAACTCACATCTTGCTTCCCCAACCGCAAACCATAGCGAATCGACACCTCTAAACCGAAAAAGTGGTGCACTGCCGGTCCTCTGTTGACCGACAGCATCCTAGTTACTTCCGCGCTCATCACTGAAACGGGCCTCGCCTGCCTCTACACGAACGCACAGGGCCTCATGCCTAAACTTCCGGAACTCCAATCCCGACTTCTTTCAACGCCAGCGGACCTAATAGCCATAACCGAAACGTGGCTCTCCGACGACCTAACCGACGGTGAAATCCAACTTCCTCACATGTCAGTTCTCCGCTCTGACCGCGCAACCCCAGTTGGCGGTGTCGCACTGTACTATGACATCTCCCTCAGTTGCAGCATGTTAACAAACACTGCGCTCCAGTCTCCAGACACCATGTGGTGCGAGGTCGTACTAACCGCCAAACACTCCAGTTGTGTTGGTATCATTTACCGTCCCCCAACAACTACCCGGAGAAGGACGTACGACTACTGCACGACGTCCACCTTATGTTATCCCACAAGCGCGCACACTTTCTTATCATGAGAGATTTCAATCTACCCCGTCTATTTCACTATGTCCCGTCTACTGACTACTTTGCATCAGACCTCATTAATCTTATTCACACGGTCTCGTTGTACACCCACACCTATCAGCCGACCAGATTCCGATCCAACAAGTAACCATCTCTGCTAGATCTCATCCTCACTAAGGAAGAACTGATAATTGAGCAGGTTGAGTATGAGGCCCTTTGGGGCTTAGCGACCACCGCGTTCTCCGTTCCGGTTTCATATGCTTTGCCGGAAAGCCCGTCGGCACGCCAACCTATACCAAACGCTGGACTGATTACGGAAAGTTGAACCTTTTCATTTCCGCTAACAGCTGGTCACCAGAGTCCCAATCGAGGGCCGACAGCGTGTGGTCAACATTTTGCCTTACCATACGTGAACTCTGCTCCACCTACCACGACCTGCAAACAAGTTTCCATAGGGAAGAGACGCCCAGCACTCATCCAGTTGTACACGAAAGTGGATTGCCTCCAGGGACAAGGCATGGAGAAACTATCGCTCCTATCCAACGGCCACTCAGTGGGAATATTACCGATGCATCCGTAACCAATGCGTCCATCTTGTACGAGAAGATAAGAGTGAACATCAGCGTCAGCTTATGCGTAAATTTTCATCCAATCCCAAAGCCTTGCATAGTCATGTCAACAGTATTCGACAAGTCAAGCACGGTGTCACCGTGCTGACGACCCCACACAGGACTCACAAAGTCAACGAACGAGGCAGCAGAATTCCTATGCCAGCAGTACGCATCCACATTTTCCGTGCCACCAATGCATACAACGATAGTACCTTCTTCGGTCTCACCCCCAACTTCCCTGATGACTGTTCAGTTCACTCCGGAGAAGGTCCTAGCGAAACTCATATCCCTGGGGCTAACGGCTTTTCCTGGCGCTGATGGTTTCTACCCAAGTCCTTTGCGAGCGTGCGCTGCAGCTTTAGCTTTACCCCTAGCGGAGCTGTTCACCCACTTTTTATCGGAAGGCAAAGTTCCCAATGATTGGAAATGGGGGACTATTACACCAATTTACAAAGGCGGTACACGCAAAGACCCGGCAAATTACCGACCGATAAGCCTCCTCTCTACGATCTCCAAAATGATGGAATCGATCGTCGCAGACGCTTTAATGGACCATATGGAGGCCCAGAAATTGATCACCGATTGCCAGCACAGCTTCCGGCGGCAACAGTCGTGTCTGAGGAAACTGCTACTTGCCAGGGATAGATGGACGACTGCTGCCGGCTGTGGCCTAGAAACGCAAGTTATATTCTTGGATTTCGTCAAAGCTTTCTACCAGGTCGACCACAACATTTCACTACAGAAACTTGATGGACTGGATCCGGAACTACCTTCAAAACCGTACCGTCCAAGTACGCGTAGACGGAGCGTTGTCTCCCCTCATCCTTGCCACAAGCGGAGTTCCACAGGAGTCTGTTCTCGGACAGGACCTCTTCCTGGCTTTCACTGACACCGAAAGCGGAGTCTTTGCTGCCGCTATATGCGGATGACGCGAAGCTGTGGCGCACAATTAACGTTCTGCACGATGCACACCCACTTCAGACGGACCTCGACCGTCTACATTAGTGGTCCATAGAAAGTAAACTTCCATTCAACGCTTCGAAATGTCGCGTCCGTTCTACCCGCCCTTCCGCTTTTTCTCTTATATATTACCTGGAAGCGTCTATCCACCAGATCTCTTCAGCCGAAGAGACTTGGGTATCACTACCCAGTAGCAGCCGCTGCTAACCGCATGGTGGGATTGCTGAAACGAGTCTTCGGTCAAATTGACCTTAGCAATATCCGCCCCCTCCTCAACGTTTTTCTTCGACCCCAGTTGGAGTTTGCTATGCAGGCTTGGAGCCCCTAGTTGTTGAAGGACCAACGTATACTCGAAGCCCCATAACGTCGAGCAACAAAACTGGTCCGAGGTCTCAAGCACCTAGATTATCCACAAGGAATTTACTGTCTGAGCCTTTACTCGCTTGAGTACCAAGGTCTCCGGGGCGCCCTGATCCTTATATTTTTGATCTTATGCAAAATCTTGGACATCCCTGTCGCCACCTACTCACACTCCACCAATTGTGCAGCCATCTACGTGGCCACCCACTGAGGCTCATACATTAGCACAGTCGGCTGAACTGCAGACGACACTACTTTGCTTGGCGAATCTGCTAACCGTGGAATGTTCTGCCTGCCGATATAGTCTTGGCGCCCACTGTGACGGATTTTAAGACCCCCCTCGACTGTCATCTGGTTGAGCTAAACCGCGATATTCCCTAATATAACTAACTCCTATTTGATAGAGTTTCTTTCTTTTTCTTCTCTTCTACCTAATTTGTTTCCATAGCCGTTTCGGAAGGCATGGTGGGATGTCACGCTTTGAGCCGGTGTGCATTCAGTTTAAATGCCGCATAAGCCCGATGAAGATACGGCTAACACGTGAGTCCAACCCGCTATAAGGTAGCTTGGCCTTTCATCAGACCTGACCCGAACTCGTTTTACCCTAGGGGTCATGTAAAGCTCGAGCTTTTATTCCCATTAAATACAATGTTTCAATGTTTCCCCCTCGGTTTAATACCACCCACGTGCGTCCGGACACAGAAATCCTCGGAACTCTTGACCGGACCGATAATACAACAACCACCTAGTAAGTAACCACAGTAAACGAAACGTGAAGATAAAGAGAAGAGTAAGAATCCATGGCCGTCTACAAGAAGTACAACGACGCAATTGCCTCAAGGACCATCGCAAGGTCAATGCACGGTCCTGCTACATTGTATCATTGTATGGTAGAGAGCAGAAGGAGAGTCCTTTATCAGCTCCGTCGCTTCCCAGTCCTTGAGAACATTGCTGGGATCATAGTGAAAATAGGGTTCCACAATGAACTTTAAAGCTAGGTTGTGAAGCAATATCCGGTCACAGTTACCATGTGGGAATCCAACAGTTTCTTGAAACTTTCCTCGGACTGCGCATCAATGACGAGCTCCGGAAGGCGATTCCAGTCATTAACCACACGAGTGGATAGAGCTAGATTTGACCGCACATTGAGTCGCCTCGATTTGAACAATTTCCATCCGTGACCACGTGTCGAACTTTCAATGTTCGGATGAAAGAACTCATCATCATCATTACACGTTAGCTGGAGGTGGAAAACATCTCAGCTATTGTGCCGCAATACAAAATAAAAGGAAAGGAAAACAGTGACAAACAGTGGCAAGCCCGCTGAGTCCCCAGTAACGGATGGACATCGTTCCGGAGAGCTAACAGCTGGCTGCCGTAAAAAGAGAATCATATTATGCCTAACAGGTGAGATCGTGATTGGAGGGGGATACTAAACAGGAGGGGGGTGGGCAAAGGAAATCACAACACAAACGCCATTGGTGCCGGCTCCGAGCCATATCAGCAAGTGTGTCCAACCAAACGTGTTCACCGTCCTTAGGACCCCAGCCAGGCAGTCGGGATGCACCAACCGACGCCAACTTCGAAGTGAGGGTTTTCATTCCTCTCGACCAAGTCATCACTTGGCCTCCCCTCCTCTTTTTCCAACCGCACCCACAACGCACAAACAATGCACGTCGCGGGAGTCGGTGTGCTGGCATGCGCAACACGTGGCCCAGCCATCGGAGCCTGGTGCGTGATATAATGGTGCTGAGCGGTTCACTCGCTCTTCCTGCACCAAATACGCGACGTCGAACACGCTCATTGCTTACGCGGTGTTCCAACCAGACATGAGCTAAGCTGCGAAGGCAGCGATGATCGAATGTGACGAGTCTCTTCATGTCAGTCGACCTGATGGGCCAGGTTTCACAACCATATAAGAGAGTAGAACGGACGGCTGCGTTGTAAACTCTGCCTTTCAGGGCGAGAGTAATGTCGCGTCTGCGCCACACGTGCCGGAGATTGGCAAAAGCACCTCGAGCTTTTGCTATGCGGTTCGTAACCTCATCTTCAATCCCACGGGTGCTAATATAGCTGCCCAGGTACTTGAATTCCTGAACGATTTCTAGCAGCTCACCACCAAGCGTTAGCGCAAAGTTGGGTCCCTGCCAATCTTGGAGAAGTACTTTGCATTTCGATGGGGCAAAGCATAGCTCAAAACGACTGACAGCCAGTGCTAATCGGTCCAGTGCTCTTTGGCATGTTTGGAGGCTGTCACAGATTAGGGCAATATCGTCCGCATACTCCAAGTCAAGAATTCGCTCATCAGGAAGTAGCTCCACACCATCTAGGTCGTGTCCAGCGAACGCTGTTTCTATGACTTCATCAATAGCGAAGTTGAAGAGGAAAGGTGACAGCGGGCATCCTTGTCTCACGCTGCTGGTGATACTGAACGGTGGCGAGAGTTTGCCATAAATCCTCACCCAGCCCGAGCTATGCGCGTACAGCGCTTTGATAATGTTTACATATTTATCAGGCACACCTTTCCTCAGCAGACAGTCCCAAAGGGCACATCGATCGACTGAGTCGAAGGCACCTTTTATGTCAAGAAACACGACAACGGTGGGTCGCCAATAAACATGGCGGTGCTCCAACACTTGACGCAAGGTGAAGAATTGGTCGATGCAGCCCCGACCTCTACGAAATCCGGCTTGCTCTTCACGAATCTGGTTTCCACCAGTGCCAGTCAGTCTGTGGAGAATGACAGAGGCAAGCAATTTAGAGGCAATCGAAATCAGACTGATCCCTCTATGATTGCCGCATGCCAAACGAGAGCCTCCCTTGAAAATTGGGACAATGACGGAGTGGTTCCAGTCTGTCGGGACTGTCTCCTGCTCCCAAAGTCTTACTAGCAACTCGTGTAGATCATCTACTATAGCAGGTCCCCCGAATTTGAAGAGGGCTGGGAGAATTCTATCTGCTCCTGAGGCTTTATGCAATTTCAATAGCCGGATCTCACGTACAACCTCTGCGCGTGAGGGCGGATCCGAGGAGACGGCCCAAGGAGAAGGGCGCTCAATGCCCGAAGAAGAAAGCGATAACTCAGGTTGGTTAAATTGCCTTGCAAAGTGTTC